TGGCAGCTAACCCGGTTTTCCATGAAAAGACTAAACATGTTGGAATAAGCTATCACTTTATAAGAGATGAGATAGTGAGAGGCTTCATTACAACAAAGCATGTGTCTACGAAGCAGCAACTAGCATATATACTAACAAAGGCACTTGAGAAAAAGGAGTTTGGAGCTTTTCTTATCAAGTTGGGAGTTCGAAACTTACACTCTCCAACTTGAGGGAGGGTATTACGATATGTACATATCTCTGAGAATATATTCTCTTTCTGATTTCATCTTAACATATATTGTATATATTCCTTTTTAGGAGAGAACCCCTTGTATAAATACATGGTCTAGGACCTAATAATAAAGTAAGAAAACCTTTTACGATATCTTTGTTTTTTTGACACATTGAAGGTCATAAGTTATTATATAGCTTCAAAGACCCAAGGCTATGAATCAACACAACACATCAAATCCAAGGTAACGAAGATATCACTCACATCAATTATAGGTAAACTCACCTCCAACAACCTTAGGATTTATGTTAGTAGAGTCATAGCTTTGTTTAATGGAGAGCTCTTTGCCTTATGTACTGAATCTTAATTCTAGTGAAGCGATACGCACATATGGAGGGGATTTGGCGCGTGGAGAGTACTCTCGGTCTTAAGTGTCAATCCAGTCACGATCAAATTGAAAGTAGCACAGTTTTTATTGAAAAACCCCTTCGGCCATGAAGAAGAGGACGAAACCACAAGGTCCACCAAATTCCTGCAAACCTCCAAAACTTGATCTACAAATATCAACATTATCCGCCGCTACGGTGGAAGCGTCGTTATTTGGTGTACGCCACCACTTTCTCCCATGCTCCTATGCTTCTTCTGCCCTTGCCTCCTACCTCACTTCCTCATGAGTCGCTTATCTCCCGCCACCGGAATCTCTCCCCGCCTCCACTGTTCCGTTGATCGAGGCTCCGATGGACGATTCAGGTTCGGATTCCGGAGAAACGAGGTTCCGTTTAGACGCCGGTTGAGATTCGTGATCAAGGCGGAGCTCTCTGAGGCCTTTTCTCCCGATTTAGGTTTGGATTCTCAGGTTATTTCGCTTCTCTTCAACTTTATCACTTCAAGTTCGATCTATTTGAAGAATCGAATCCGTCTATGCTTTCACTTTGTTTGCTTGTTAGGATTCTATGTTCTTCTTTGCCTAGATCTTGAGATATTTCTAATAGAGGAATCGTTTGCTGATCAGCGTTGCTTATATGTTCAGCTAGTTTGTTATTTGTTATGAACTGTTTCTCTAACAATATTCGTTGGATCTTTTGAAGGCTGTGAAATCTCGCGATACATCAAACTTGCCTTGGATCGGTCCAGTTCCAGGTGACATCGCTGAGGTTGAAGCATACTGCAGAATCTTCAGATCAGCTGAGAGACTCCATGGAGCTTTGATGGAGACGTTATGCAACCCTGTTACTGGTGAATGTCGGGTACCGTATGATTTCTCACCTGAGGAGAAACCACTGTTGGAGGACAAGATAGTGTCAGTTCTTGGTTGTATATTATCTCTTTTGAACAAAGGAAGGAAAGAGATTCTCTCAGGGAGGTCATCCTCTATGAGTTCGTTTAGTTTGGATGATGTTGGGGTTGCGGAGGAAACTCTTCCACCGCTTGCTGTTTTCAGGGGTGAAATGAAACGGTGTTGCGAGAGCTTGCATATTGCTCTCGAGAATTATCTGACGCCTGATGATGAAAGAAGTGGGATTGTGTGGAGGAAGTTACAGAAGCTTAAGAATGTCTGCTACGATGCAGGTTTTCCACGGAGTGATAGTTATCCTTGCCAGACACTTTTCGCGAATTGGGACCCTATTTACTCGTCAAATGTGAAAGAAAGTATTGACTCTTACGAGTCTGAGATTGCTTTTTGGAGGGGAGGACAAGTAACTGAAGAAGGATTGAAGTGGTTGATTGAAAAGGGATTTAAAACGATTGTTGACCTGAGAGCTGAAACTGTGAAGGATACATTCTATCAGGCGGCGCTTGATGGTGCAATCTCTACTGGGAAAATCACATTGGTGAAAATTCCAATTGAAGTCAGGATGGCTCCTTTAGCTCAGCAGGTTGAGTTATTTGCTTCTGTTGTATCTGACACCAGCAAAAGGCCGATATATGTTCACAGTAAAGAAGGTGTTTGGAGAACTTCTGCGATGGTTTCCAGGTGGAAACAGTACATTACACGTCCGGTGACAAAAGAAATTACAGTTTCAGAAGAACCAAGGGCTCAAGAGGTTTCTGAAACTAAAGTTGGATTGAATGTTGTAGTATCTGGTAAGGATGTGCCTGATCAGCAGGATAAAGTCTCTGAAATCAATGTGATTGATAGTGGTTCGGCTTCAAATCAGAGCAAAGAATCTGGAAACGATCAGCAAGTTACACCTGCATTTAATATGGTGAGTGATCCTCTTAAAGCTCAAGTTCCACCGGGAAATATCTTTTCAAGAAAAGAAATGTCTAAATTCCTGAGGAACAAAGGTATTGCTCCTGCTGGTTATCTTAGTAATCAGTCCAAAAAACTTGGAATAGTGCCAAGTCCGCAAGTCTCGTATACGGGAGTGACAAGCGGATATCAGATTGCTGATTCTGTAAGAGGACTTGCCGAGACAGGAAACTCCAATGGAACACTTCTACCCTCGAGTTCTCAAAATTTAGATATTGCCAATGGGAAGTTTTCAAATGGAAATGTGAATGCTCCTGATAGCACCAATAGAAGTGTCTCAGAAAGCAGGGGAAATGGCTTCTCTGCAGAGCCTATTGTTGTGCGTCCAAGTGACAACTTTAGTCGCACTGTAGTTTCCCAACCTGTTCGTGATTCTCAGAGGAACAATTCTGCTTCTTCGTCGGATTCCAGTGACGATGAAGCTGGAGCTATTGAGGGAAATATGTGTGCATCTTCCACTGGCGTAGTACGGGTGCAGTCGAGAAAAAAAGCAGAGATGTTCTTAGTCCGAACTGATGGAGTCTCTTGTACAAGAGAAAAGGTTACAGAATCCTCGTTAGCCTTCACACATCCAAGTACTCAACAACAAATGCTTCTGTGGAAGACTACCCCAAAAACTGTCTTACTACTGAAGAAGCTTGGGCTAGAACTCATGGAGGAAGCTAAAGAGGTAACCGCTTTGCTTTTCTGTTGTATTTTGAAGTTGCCTGTAATTTAGGAAACCCGTGAAAAAGTTGTTCTTCTTTCGAAATTGGTTTCAGGCTGCGTCTTTCTTGTATCACCAAGAGAAGATGACTGTTCTGGTGGAACCTGAGGTGCATGATGTATTTGCCAGGATTCCAGGGTTTGGCTTTGTCCAGACCTTTTACATTCAGGACACAAGGTACCAAAATAAGTACAGTGAACATAAGATAGACTAACCATCAACGGCTCGAGTATGACCGACTGTGTTTTGCTTTTGTTTGAATATTCAGCGATCTCCATGAGAGGGTCGATTTTGTGGCATGCTTAGGTGGGGATGGGGTGATATTACATGCATCAAACTTGTTCAAAGGAGCTGTCCCTCCCGTTGTATCATTTAACCTGGGGTCCCTTGGATTTCTCACTTCACATCCAGTAAGCCTTTCGACATGTTTCTATTTCTCGACTATGTCGTAATACTCTTTTTCTATCGACGGCCTTCTTATAGTTTTATTTTTTTCCATTTAGTTTGAGGACTTCAGGCAAGACCTCAAACGGGTCATCCATGGGAATAACACGCTAGATGGGGTTTATATAACTCTTCGAATGCGTCTTCGTTGCGAAATCTATCGTAAAGGCAAAGCAATGCCTGGCAAAGTGTTTGATGTTCTGAACGAGATTGTTGTTGATCGAGGATCCAACCCATACCTTTCTAAGATCGAATGTTATGAGCACGACCGTCTTATCACCAAGGTTTTGTACCCACCCATTACGTTCCTTTTCCTACCATAGATGCATATTCGGCTAAATCTTTAAGCAAGTGAAAATAAATGCATGTTGTAGAAAAACCAATCCCCTTCACTGTGTGTTGACGAATAATATGTTTATAGGTACAAGGTGATGGAGTAATAGTAGCGACTCCCACAGGAAGTACTGCTTATTCTACAGCAGCGGGAGGTTCCATGGTAAGATTTTCAACTTAAATGACGTTCAACTCTTCATTACAACATAAAAAGAGAAAAACCTCATTGACATCTCTGAGTAGTACCTTGCCGTTCACAAGAAAGCTTTAGTGACCGTCAGTTTTGACATTTATAAAATCCCAAATTGCAGGTGCATCCAAACGTTCCTTGCATGTTGTTCACTCCAATCTGCCCACATTCCCTCTCGTTCAGACCAGTTATTCTTCCAGATTCTGCAAAGCTTGAACTAAAGGTCAGATGTTAGACCTTTTAGCTAGTTATAAGTTTTGGCATTTTATCCACCCAAGCTACTCTCTAAGCTCATGTTTTGGGACCACGAGATGAAAACCCTTGTGTTATCATATTAACTCTTCTAACTTGCTCACAAAATCCTCTCTAAACAAAAACAGATTCCAGATGATGCTAGAAGCAATGCATGGGTGTCGTTTGATGGAAAGAGAAGGCAACAACTTTCAAGGGGAGATTCGGTGAGAATATACATGAGCCAACATCCACTCCCAACAGTCAACAAGTCTGATCAAACCGGTGATTGGTTTAGAAGCTTAATCCGTTGCTTAAACTGGAACGAGCGCCTTGATCAAAAGGCTCTATGATGATTGATACAGTTCATCAACATATACATACACATAGAAGGGTACAAAGTTCTGTTTGTTTTACCCATCCCTCTTTCTCTGTACAGATTCATAATCACTACAATCTTCACAAGGGTTATTCTCTTGTATTGATCATTTGATCTCAATTCTAAAAGAAATAAGAGACCTTCAAGTTACTGTGTATTTGTATATCAACAAATGTGACAAAAGATTCATATATACACGTGATTTTTAGGTGAAGTCTTCAGGAATCAGATGAGCAACTGTAGTTTTTGTTAACGTCCACTATAATATACCTGGAAAATCCACACAAAACGCTTACGTTGTCACAGACCATTCTCAACAACAGAACAGATGTATTCATGAACGCAAAGAAAAAGAAACATGATTTGAAAGTGATCACCTTGATTGTTTTATCCGCAAACCCTGCAAAGAGTTTGCCTTCCCAATATAACAAAGATGTGACTACTGAACAACCAGGGATCGATCCCACGTGAGTACACTCTAGAGATATCTCATCCCCAGATAATTCCTACAAAATAGTGTTTAGAAGATGTTAGGAGGAAAAAAAACAAGCTCAAGTTCAGACCAGGTGATAAGGTCTGTGTATCATTAGGATTGCCTACCTGAACATTAACAGTTTTGTCCCAACCTCCAGTGAATAGCCATTTACCGTTCAGGGCAACGCTGAGAATTGCACTGCTCTGTATTTGCATAGACTTCATCGATGTGTCATCCCTCCATATCTGATAAAAGAATAAGAAGAGACCACGCTTAGAAAACCGAATAGCTACTATAGAATTGAAGCAAGCCGAGCAAAATGTTTTTTGAGAACAGATGAAAACCTGTATATCTCCGTTTTGATAAGCTGCAACTAAGGTACCATCATCTGCAGCTAGAGACAGAATAGATTTTACAATACCTTGAGTCTCTTCCCCCAACACCGTCAAGAAACTGTGGTCACTTAGACTCCACAACCGCACGGTGCCATCCCAACTTCCACTGTACAGTACTCCATTTAGCACAACAAGCGTTGATACTACAGATTTATGACCAGTCATTGTGCAAACAAGTCTTCCATCCTGGGACAAAAACAATCTCGATTTCTATAATAATATGATCCAAGATCTTATCAAGACAAGCTTCAAAGAGTACAGGAAAACTAAACGTACTTGGAGTGACCAAGCTTTGATAGTGTTATCTCCACTGCCACTATACACATACCCATCTTCTGAGTATGCCAACGCATGGATGCCAGAATATCTCCAGTCTTTAGGCTCGTACCACTTTCTTATCGGCTGTTCTTCCAGAGGGAAACTTGTGCTCCATACAAATATACCTCCTCCACCATCGCCACTGACACATACTGATTCTGCTCCCTTGATGTATATCAAAGCCATTACTTTATCCTGATGACCTTTAAATGTATGCACATGAGAGAAATCCTGCATATAATATGAAGATCCACATAGCTACTGTTAGTTACTAAACAGTACACATTATAGAAAGAAAACAAAGCCGCAGAAACCTTGCTTTATAAGTTAAAACAAAGAACTATAAAGGATGATGACAAGTACCTTCAGAGACCATATATGGATATTTTTATCAAGCGAAGAGCTGAACAGGAACCCATCTGCACATAAAAAATAGGACAAAATACAGTCTGAGCAAATAAAGTACGGAATATAAACAATACTCTTGGAAAGTAAGATAAAAGGTGTACCTCCAACCGCTAAACCTGTGACACTGTCTTGGTGCCCCCGGAGGTCCTTATATTTTATTTTACCTTCTGATAGTTTCCCAAAAAAGTCCTTGTCAAGGTTGCCTTCTTCTGCTACACCGCCACTCTCCAGTTCTTCTAGTTCTTTGGATCCCACTACTACCAGGCGGCATAACTCACCTAGAACCAAACAAAAATCTTTCCTTTTCCCAGGTTTCTTCTTGTTCAATGGAAACGTAGAGCTCAACCTGTGATTCATGACCAGCTCCCTGTTGCATTTCCAGAGATCAGTTAAAACTGGACGTGCCTGAGGATCAATACAGCAACATTGGCGGAGAATTTCAACCATAGATTTAAACTTTCCACTAAGTTTTGATTCCAGGATAGAACTTAGTTTGTCCATAAAATCTGTGTACAGTAACAAGAGATCCTCAATTTTCCCTTCGCATACTTTTGCTTCCACACCACTAACACTTTCAGTCAGCTCCTCAGAAAACCGTTTCCCACCAAGAAGCACAAGGAGAAGTAAACAGACTGGCCAGACATCGGAGCTATACAAAACCAGACATTCTGAGCTGGCCTGTGTTGTCAACAAGTCCTGCTTTTTCAACAATTCAAACAACACCTCTACGCTCATGAGAACCCCATTCTTTACTAATCTCTTCAAAATCAATCCCATTTCTAAAGCACCAACTGGTTTTCCGCAAGTTTCTTCAGATATGAGTCCATACACGTTCCTTCCAGTTTCTATCAACTCAATCAAATCAACAAAAGCATTCCCAAACTCATCAAACTTAACACAAGAAACACTCAAACACCCTGTGCTTACCCCTTCCTTATGCAAACTAAGAAGCGCCTCACATAACTGCATACCCATCACTGCTAAACACGACGCATTATCTCCACTGATATCCTCAAACTCCTCCCAAAAAAAGTCTTTAAGCTTTTCACCAACTAAATACAAACTCCCACTCTTCAAATCACCCCACAAGCCCAAAACTCTAGAGACACCTCTCTCTTCAAGACACATAATCATATCAAGCTCATCTCTTTCCTCCTCTTCCATCTCCCAAAGACAACTAATCATCCTCAGGACATAACTTAACTCAAAAACAGAATCACAACCCTCATCACGCTGGAACGAACCCACCCGTAAAAGACTAACCTTTAAATCATCATCATCACTCTTCAAACACCCACACAGACGCGAAGACGGAGCAAAGTCAGCACTTTCTCTCTCTACGGAGACGGCGTCAAAAGGTAAAATCCGATTTTTCCAAGCGGCGTAGAACTCGTCGGACCATGATCGAGCGACGAATTCAAAGGAGGGTTTTTTCGAGTTCCGGGGCGTAGGGTTTGAGATCGAAGGGAACAATCTGAGAAGATCGATGTTTTTGGGGAGAGCCGATGGGCCCTGAGGTGGGAACTTGACGAGAACGGTGCACGCCGGACATCGGATTGTGTCCGGAAACTTCTTGGGGATGTTCGTTAGACATTCCTCGCAAGCCGTGTGGCCGCAGGAGAGTACGCGTGGAAGCGTGGACTCGGTGTTGTAAGACTGTAGACACACCGGACACTCCGGTGGCTCCTCCATCATGATGACCAAGTTCTGATCGAGTCTCTGATACACATATACGACGACATCGTTTTAGCTGGTAGACAAAAAGCTCGGTCATAAGGGTATTCCCGTAATAACAGATGATAAAGATGGGGTTTATTGTCATTTACGTCTCAATAACCATGCAATACACAACGGAACTAATACGACAACGTTTTAAACAAAAGTCGGACGTAAGGTGGGATTTCTGAACTGATACGACGACGTTTTAGCTGTCTTCTTTCTACATAGCGATTTACAGTGGAAGTGAGAACGTGACAAGAGGGGTGAAGATCCGATCTGCTCTTAAAGGTGTTGTTGCAAGGTAATCAAGATTACATTTCGTGATTCATGCAGATGTTTCCGCTTTATATTTAACGTTTGATTGTATCGAAACGCGATTTTTTAGCGTTTGCTCTACCGTTTCTCGGTTTGTTTCCCTGACGCGATTTTTTAATTTCCCGATGCGCGTTTAGGAGAATTGATGGCGGGAGTTGGAACATCAATGCTTGGATCCGTTCTACTGTTTGCAGTGGTGCTCTCGCTCCAAGAAGTGTACAGAGGGAAATTAGCTTCCTCTGAGATTTTCACGATCCTTGGAGGCTTCACTAGCTCCCTCCTCTTCCTCTTCTCTCTCACTGTGAGTTTTCTTTAGCTGCATCGTCGATTTTCTATGGATTATTCTCCTAGTCTATTGAAAATGGTTCAATGCGGTTTGCTTACTTTTGCAGTTCATTGGAAATCTCCAGGAGTCTTCTGGCATGAAGAGTGGCTGGGGTGCTGGTACGTTTCTCTTTGATTTACACACACACACATGAGAGTGTGATCTATCACTCTGCTCTTTATCAGTAATCTAGTTCAGAAGTTGGAGTAAATTAGATCTTGAAAACTTAGATGATGCTAGCTTCAAAAGGTTTCTTTCTAGATAACAGATTGCAAAAGGTTTTTTGTTTCAAGTGCAGATGTCCATGAATTAGTTAACAGTTGTATTTCCCGATCTGTCTTTTTGTCAATTTTATTGGCATACCTGAAGTTCGTTTGATGTTGGTTGATACATGTAGTAAGTTCTGCAGCAAGTTAATTAAAATTCATTGTTTTTCTCCTTCTTTCACGGCAGTGATTGTTGCGGAAATTTTAGCTCTTGTTGCTGCTAGCACGGTGCACCGAGTTTGCATTACCACCTGGTAACAACACTATGTATCAATCTTCAGTGATAACATTATTTCTGACTCTCTCTCTCTCTGGCTAAAAGCTGTGTTTGCTTGCTCCGTTGTTCAATTTTTTTTTGCGTTGCAGTTTCTTGTTCTCTGCTGGGCTGTTATACGAGATGAGCAAGATCTCAGGGTATATGATCGCCAGAGTTGACTCCAAATCTAAAAGGCACTGAATCAGAGAGAAGGGGATTACTAAGTTACTTGAATTTTCTCGAAATTTGATATCTTGTTTAGCACCTGAAAGTCTCAAAGATACTTTACAACTATGAATTTTAGGATTTTCCGCGCATATTATGGTTGACTTGGTCGATATTGCACTTGTGTTCTGCGTTCTTATAGAAACCAAGACCAAATGGTCAGACAGACGACCACGTCTCTATAAAGTTAGGCTTATGATACCCAAATAGGTGAAATAAAATAGTAAGACATATGTTGCTCAAAACAAAAAATAGTCATAGACATATCTAAATTATAAATATAAAATATTATTTCAAGTTCATGCCGGACGAAGTTTTGTAAATGTTGGACAACTAGTGGTGTTGTAGTGGGTTACTTTGGTCCGTTTAGGCTTGCTTTGGTACATCAGTACATGTGAAGTTTGGTTTACTTTTAGCCTATATTTTCTCATTAGCTAGGAAGTAGATTAACATATACATTGCTAAACTTCAATTATTGCGGATGTAGCTCGAAAATTATTAATGAACTGTACACTGTAAAATAGAAATTGTGAGTCCATATAGTATTGTATGAATTGATGTTTTGAGTGTTGTTGAAGAATTTACTCTTATTAGGTGGTTGCCGCAAATTTGCGAGTACAAATAGTTTTAAAATATAATGTAATATTTTTCTATTTTGGCATGGTATAATATACTTTTAGCTCTTTCAATCTGAATGTGAATTTTTTTCTATATATATTTTTATATAAACGGATTTTAGATATTTTATTTAGTTTGGATATCTGATTAATTTTTAAAGTATAAATGATATTTTTAATATTTCATTAAAAAAATTATCAATAACTATATATGACTGATTAAGATTTTAATACATTAAAAATGTAATTTCATTTTTTAACATTCACATCCAAACCATATATATGTATATATATTAATTGGTTTGTAAATCAAATTTCCATCTAAAATTTATTAAAAACTAATCATATGAAAGATGTGACAAATAAATATATTCTTGAAACTAAAGCCTATATAAAGATTATGAAAAAGAAGCAAAATTTTATATATGTGGATTCCCATTAGTTTAATAAATTTCTAATAATATTTCTATGTAATATTTAGTATATATAAATTTGTACATTAGTATGCAGTCATATAATAGTGTTTGTATTTAATAAATAATAAGAAGTTTCATTTTATGATATAAATAAATTCCAACTAGCAGAAATTTTAAAAACATTATGAATAATTTTCAATTAAATGATTGTGATAAATGAAAACAGTTAGAAGCACAGTTTTTATTGATATGGTTTGTAAGTAAAAAATAAATTTTTATTATCTTACCTATTAATTTATTTTATTTTTAGTTATCTCTATAACATGGAAAAGAATGTTTTTTACAAAGTTTCTTAAACTCATTGTTTTTAAATATGTATAAAATTATTTATCCATTTTACAATCGATATAGTTTTTACGGGTTTGTTGATCAAAAAGTAACTTCAATTTTTTTATTGATATGGAGAATATGCTTAAAATTTACTTTAATATTTTTTATATCATTTTCTATGCAATAGAAAACTAATGAAAATTATGAATAATTTTTTTTACTTCTAGTTATACATTTATATAACATACAAGGATATTTTAAATCTTTTTTTTTTGTTAAAAATTCATTCAAAACGTGAAATAACTTACCAAATTTTTAATTGAAAATCTTAAATATTCTTGTTAACTCAAATTAATTTTATTTTTATTTTAAATTATACTATACATAATTTTGTATATGTATATTATTATCAGCATTATTTATATAATACATCTTTTATATACTAAAGCACAAGTCACTCTACCAATAATATTGTGCCACGTGAATAAAAAAAGAAAGTTAAAATTTTAAAAATAAAAATTATCTAACAAAAAAATATAACGATTTCTAAACTGCAAAATTAAAAATTCCTATATTTTCTCAAGTCAATACCATGTTTAGACGTTTAGACTTAATCGTGTCATCACAGATTGGAATTTGTTTCAAGTTTGTCCGTCTTTCTTGTATAATACAACTAGGATCGGTCCGCACTACGCGCGGATATTTATATTTATATTTTTCATTATGAATATATGATTGTTAATATGAAATCCAATTGTAGGGGTTGGTTTGTGACTAAAGTTGTACAATAAAACCTCTATAAATTAATAATATTAGGATTTTGAAATTTTATTAGTTTAAAGAGATATTAATTTACAAAAGTTTCCTTATTTAGATTTCTTATTTTAAAATATATTTATTCGAAGATAAGAAAAATATTTGATTTTAGTGTATAAACATTAATTATTATTTTAAAAAATTTGACATTTATATCAATTTTATTATATGATTTGGTATATATAATATATATTGCATATAATTTAAATGTAATTTTAAATATAATATTACTAAATCTCATCAAAATATATTAAGTGTTAATTGTGAATATAAAAAAAATAATGTAATGATATGTTCTTATTTATATACAATATGTATACATATAAATTACTAATTTATAATTTAATGGGACTATATATTTACATAGAACTTTTTAAAAAAATATTATCTTATTATTTTATCGATTTTTGTCAAATTTTGAACCGATTCAAATTAGGATCAGTGAAATTTATTAATTTATATAGATTATTAATTTATAGAGTATTCGTTTATAGATGTTCTACTTAGTTGGTTTGTTTGTGTCAAGTTTAAATCAATGGATGGACCACTGAAAATGAAAATTTTGTTCTTTGAATTGGTTTTGAGTTGTTGTAATTGAGCTATATTATCTAATCAAGTGTGTTTGTCTTGTACATATAATGAAATGTGATTTTTATTGAGCGAGTGCATTGGCGGAAATAAAGTTTCATAGATTGGCTATTGCTGTGGACCTCTAAACTATATGATTAAGTTTGCTAGAAGTAAAAAGAAAAAAAGAAAAAAGAAATCTAGTATTTCTTTTGGGATCTAGTGTGGTTTTTATAACTTGCTTTAGCAACAATATTAACAAATATAAATTTTTTTCAACATTGATAGCGAAGTGGACCGTCGTAATAACTATTTTGAGTTTGGTTTGTGTTGTTTAACTTAGTAAACCATTCGTAACAACAATTACATTTCATGGAGATTTTGTATTATGGGTAAGGTGAATGTTAGGATTTTAGTCCTACTTATACATGCTTTAGAATTTAGAATAAATTATACCAAATACTTGTATTTTGTTTACTTTCATAAGAGTTATTTTAAGAATACACAACCAAGCTTTCTGTACAACAATTTAAAAAGAAGAAAATATTTTATTTTATTTTATTGGTATTTAACCAACTTCACCGAAATTAATTACAAACATATTGAGCTGTCAATTTATTTAAAAGTAAGTTGAGCCATAGTCACCACACATTCTCCATATTGTGGCTTAACTTCTTTCTATCACATGTTTATCTACTTTAGCACGGTTCCAGTCGTATGCAAGATGATTCAACAGTTTCACAGACATATATATTCTTCAGAGTCAGTATCATTAAAGAATCATAATCAACAACTTGATTCAATGCTACTTTTGAGGGAATAGTAAGCGCTTCTCATATCCATGATTCTTAGCTATGTTACATGAACCAAAGATTAGTAATTAGAGATAAGAACATCACCAAAAACGTTGAAGAAAATCACGACACCTCTTCGTTGTCTTCAATGTTGATGTCAAAAACTTTGCAAAGTTTTGTCTCAAAAAAATGTTAGGTTACAACTTGTATACGACACCAATTGTTGAGAGTAATTGGAAAGCCTGCAAACGGCCAATAAAATGGATAAGATTCATATCATCAACAGGTTGAGAAAGATCATATTGAACTAATTGTTGTACCTTTTTCTGCTAAGATATTTATAACCATTTTGCATGTACATCTGAAGTGGAATTTTGATGATATTATGCGTTAGAATATTTATAGAAGAAAATGTAGCTGGAAAAGATCAAACATGTTATTTGTCAGAAAAAAGTAAATGCAAGTACTTCCGTCAAAAAGAATTGCAATCTCTTAATTAAAGAAAGAGAATGACTTATCTTGCAAACTTTGCTCTTCAAATATTTCTTCAGCTCTTTCTTTACTCTGTTTTTTTAATGTCTGAAAATTAAACCGAAGAAGGCACGATCAAGTTTCAAGTCACCAAAGTGTGATTGATCAAAAAATCATTATACTCAGAAACACCACTGATAGTTTATAAACTCAATAGTTTCATTAAATTAAAGATCCTAAAACCTTCATCGAAGATATATTGTATCTTCTTAACTAACAAAAACAAACTCAACTCTGTTATTTTTTCTAAGGATCAAGAAGTTGCGCTTCAAGATAGATTTTTTTTTTCTTGTTCAAAAGTAAACTACACTGAAGAATTTTTGTTATTTGGTCTATAATATAATGGAAGCGATTCAAACCTATGCCTTGCAAAACAAAATTGATTAACAGTTCCTATTAATTCATAAAGACTATAATTTTCCCATCTCCATATGAACAGCATGACAATTTGTGATCTAAGAGATTCCTTCATCTTCTATCTCTATGACTGTAGAGTAATGCTTGATAGCAGTTTCAAACCCATAAGCTCACAACCGCGCTTCATATTTCTTGCTTCCCCGAACGGAAAACCTCGACGGTGGAGAGACAATGGTCAGCCTCCAAATCGGCCAGAAGAACGGTGGAGTAAGCCATTTTTTCTAGAACATTTAGAAAGCGAATGATCGAGAAGATTAAACTTTTTATAGTCGAAGATTCGCCAAAAGTAAGTATTGGGGGGATGCATTCATTAAATGACGAAAGGTGAGAGGTGCTGCAAGCTTTTGTTAATGATTTCGTTAAAGATGACTTTTCGATTGAGCCTCATTTCGTAATGCCTCCAGTTATCATGGTCAGTAAGATTAATATATTTTTTATGCGACGGTGAGAGCTTTGATCGTGTCGGCAGAGTTGGCTAGAGAAAGACTTCTAAGGATGAAGGTTAAGTTCAAAGCAGGCTCAATCCATAATTTGAGGCCCACGAAAACACATCAAATACAAAGCTTGCAAAACACCATAAATGAACGCAACACTTCTTATAAAAACACGTGTCAGATTCTAAAGATTCTATTTAGTGACGTGGATGCATAAGAATGAGGGAAACATTTCTGTATAATAATAGATATGTAATGACTTAAATTAATGAAAT